ATATATATATATATATATATATATATATATATATATATATATATACTATATATATATATATATATATATATATATATATATATATATATATATATATATATATATATATATATATATATATATATATATATAAATATTATATATAAATAATAGTATATATATATATGTATATATATATAATATAAATGAATCTTAAAACGTACCTTGGAAGAGATAGAACATGGTGACTCCAGTCTCTCCAAACATGACTATCTGGTCACCTCGCCTGTAGGTTTTTGGCACGAAGTTGTCTGCAAGCACCGACAGAAACTCTGACGACGTGCCCGCAAACAAGTCCAGCCGCACCAGCTCTCTTGCCAGCTCTAGGTAAGGTTGTGCATCGCTCTCGCTACTACTTCCGGCCGGTGCCACCCCAAGGCCGGCGGAATTGGCATCGCTCACGCGTCTGCCTTTGAAATTCAGTGCTTGCGCACCCGTCTGCGGACTATGCCACTTGAGCATGGAGAAGCGGGTCTCCTGCAGCGTCGTGGTCATGCTATGCCTACGGTGCCCCGAATCGGACCGGGATTGGTATGCATTCCCCGTTCTACCTACCACCGACCCAGGGGTTCCCGGGCTGGCTCCAGTTATGTGCGTAGTGGGCCTCCCCCTGGCTGGTCGCCCAGACCCCAGACCCACCGGTGAGGGACCGGTTCCGCTATTTGTCCCGTAATTATTGTTAATGGAGCTCATCTTCCTCTGCTGACGTTTGGTATCGAGAGAGTGCCCGCCCACAACTGTCGGTGCACACACACAGTGACCGTGCGCAGACGGTGCAAGCGAGTCTCGTCTACAGTTCCCACTACACCTGTTGGGTGTATGAGCTCGTGGCTGCGGCTGTGTCGGTGTGAGTGGCTTTGTGAGTTGGGAATTGTGTGACTGGGTATGTCTAAGTGTGCGTGTGTGTGTGCGAGACTGTACTGGTGAGTGGAACCCTGCGCTTAACTGCGTGTCCGTCTGCGTATCGCTCATCTCCGAACTTAACGGGCTGGTACTATCCGCACGGTAATCCGTCTGCCCGACCCGAGTCCTGGCTTCACCGTTCAAACGCTCTCCATGCGCGCCCGTGTTAAACTCGTTGCCGTGACTAGGCAAGGTACGATATTTCAGGGCCGGTGATAAGGAGTATACTGGGGTAGAGTACGTTCGGCGGTGTCCTCTTGTGGGTATTTGCAGGTTGATATCGGGCACGTTCCGGTGTGTGTGTGTGTATGTCTGTGTCTGCGAGTGCTGTCGATGGGTGTTCGTACTGTGTCGATACAGCCTGCCGCTGTGTCCACTCTCGCAGACGCTGTTGGCTGCGGCTGAATCCACGGCCTCACCTTCGCCCTGTGAGTAGCCCACTTCTGGACAGTGCTTCTGAGTGGTTGTGCTACTGTTGTCGTGCTTGTCAGCCCCATCTGATGCTCTAACTGCTATCAAGCCGGAACTGTCTTTGTAGCTAGTGTCCTTGTCAACAGCAGACTCGCTTTCGCTGACATTGGCACCCCTGTTAGGATTTGTCATCTGCTGCTTGCTTTATTGGCTAAGCGACACACTGCGACGACTGTAGGAATGCAGAACGAACCGTGGATATACATCAGTAACTTGTATAGGACAATACATTTGATATTGAGTATGAGAATCTTTATATGTATGAAAATTAATATGCATGAAAAACAATCAACACAAACACCAACATAACCACATTCAAAGCTATAAACACAGACGCGCATATTAACACATGAGAAACTATGTAAACACACACGCACACATACATGATATATACAAATTTATGTATGTATATACATATGCATATGCA